AAATTGACTGTTCACATCGAACACAGCTCGAGGAGAATATCCTGCCTACATGTCGTCGCCAGGCCTGTACCGTCTTGGAAGCTTCGTACTGCTGCAGGATTGGGTGCCAGCACATGGAATCGAAGGGCGTTGGAAAAACTCTCGCCTACTTGGAATCGAAGGGCGTTGAGTACCTGAAGAAGACGGAATATGCAAGTGTGTCACCTGCTCTCAATCCCCTTGATTATCCGGTTCTGGCGAGTTCAACAGGGTGGTCTACAGTGGCGGAGAAATCAACGACCTCGCTGAACTCAGGCACCGAATCACGGTCGCGTGGCAGAATCTCTCGATGGCGTTCGTCCAGAAGGCTGTGGCGGAGTTTCGTGATCGTGTGCAATGCGCTGTTGAATTTGATGGTGAAAATGCCAATCAGAGTTTAATGAAAAGTGGCTTATACCGCCTTGAAAGTCGAGGAAGTGTCTCTTTCGGCCCCCTGTATACTGCCATTCTCGACGGAAAGTGTGTCCATTACTCACTTGGACGACGGCTTCGGGACAGCTTGAGCTTGCTAAAGTCACATACCACAAGCATATGGGTCAACCATAACTACTTCAGTGATGCACTAAATAAACTTCGCCTAATTGCAAGTTCGATTCAGTTCAGTGAGGCCGCGACTAACCCAGCTAAAATCCTTCAGATCATCGCAGCACGTCTCCTGATTCCTTCCCTGTCGTACAGAGGAGGTTCAAACCAATATTCCGACTTCAAATTCATCTAATTTTGAGAGGAATGGGGTAAGTTCACCCGCGACGTTTTCACCACTGGATATTCTCTTTTTGAATAGCTCACTAACCGATCACCATATGTGGAGCGAGGCTATCTGGTTGAGGAAGGATGTTTCGAAAGCATTGACCCAAATGAGGCAATCAAGAGGTGGAAATCATGGGATAGATTTTCATCACTATAACTCTGCACAGCTTTGAGGCCATCCCTTCTGGAAAAAGGTCCTCGATAAATTTTGAGAGTCGTCTGTTTGCACATGAAAGTCCAGAAAGGATGGTCGATGTTGAGAAAGAAAAATGAAAAATAAACAAATAATAAAACCTATCGAATGGCAAGTAAAAGTGCGATCGGGCGAACATTTCGGCAACGACGTTGACAAGAAAAGTTCAGAAATGATTACTGTATACCTTTTTTCCTATACATGAGACATCACCAGTGATGAAGACCTGCTTGATATAATCGATCATCTGGGCGGGTCCTGAAAAGACTCAATCACTACTGTTTAGAACGGTAAGATTCCGAAAAACTGCGCTGTACGATGATTTCAAAGGTATAGGTATGATTACCGTTGGGATAAGCCAAGTTCTCGCGAAAGCTCGTATAAGAGGCATTGTAATATTTGATAGCACCTGACTTATGTACATTCCATGCTTCTCTTATGGAGTAGTTAGGCATAACATAGTGCTTTATTGGTAGTCACTCAACTGTTTTTCGAATGTTGAAGAGAGAAGGCACAGGCACAATCATAGGTCTGGCTCCGCCCATACAGCAAGCGTAGGCTGCACCTTCGAAAGCATATATTGCATGAGAAGCCACTTCGTCATGGGTAGATTGGATTGTTGAAGGCTCAGACACCTTC